CCAACTCGAGCGAGGGATTCGTGATCGCCAGGGTTAATGGAGTATACTTAAGTAGCTGCTATGCTCCGCCCAGGTGGTCTATCGAGCAATTCTCGCAGATGGTGGACAGACTGACAGCGGTACTTGTCGGCCTAAGACCGGTGGTCATTGCGGGCGACTTTAACGCATGGGCGGTAGAGTGGGGCAGCCACCACACCAACCAGAGAGGATGCATCCTACTGGAGGCAATGGCCAAGCTGGACGTTGTACTATCCAACACCGGCTCGGTCAGTACCTACAGAAGGAATGGTGCAGAATCCGTCATCGACGTGACATACTGCAGCCCGAGTTTGGAGGGCAACCTACACTGACGTAGGCGTCTTCCCAGACGCGTGGAAGCGGAAGAAGCTGGTGCTGCTTCCGAAGCCAGGAAAACCCCCTGGGGACCCGTCAGCATACAGACCCATCTGTTTGCTGGACACCACTGGGAAACTGCTTGAGAGGGTGATCCTCAACAGGCTGTCGGCCTACACCGAAGGTGTAGACGGCCTGTCAAGCAGCCAGTACGGGTTCCGAAAGGGCAGATCCACGGTGGACGCCATCCACGACGTCATCCAGACGGCAGGGGTGGTCCATCGGAAACGAAGGGGCATTCGCTACTGCGCGGTGCTAACCTTAGACATGAAGAACGCGTTCAACAGCGTGTGCTGGGGGGCGATAGCCCGCTCGCTACACCAGCTCCAAATTCCCGGAGGGCTGTATAAGATTCTGGAAAGCTAGTTCCAGAATCGTGTGTTGACGTACGACACAGAAGATGGCGAAACATGCGTTAGAGTCACCGCAGGTGTGCCACAAGGCTCCATCCTGGGCCCGGTGTTATGGAACGTCATGTACGATGGACTGTTGAGGATAAAATTCCCGGTAGGCGTGAGAATTGTAGGTTTTGCCGACGATGTCACGCTGGTAGTCTGCGGGGAATCCCTCGAAGAGGTAGAGCTGACAGCCGCCCACTGCGTCAGGCTTGTGAAGGAATGGATGAGAACCAGGAAACTGGAGCTCGCCCATCACAAGACGGAAGTGGTCGTAGTCAACAATCGCATGTCAGTACAGCATGCGACGTTGACAGTCGGCGGAAGCACAATTAGGTCTGTGCGCTCTCTAAAACTCTTGGGGGTCATGCTCGACGATAAGCTCAGCTTCGGCTGCCACGACGAGTACGCCTGCAAGAGAGCGTCTATGGCTGTGAGGGCATTATCCCGTATGATGTCAAACAGCTCGGCAGTGAATGCCAGTAAGCGCAGGCTCCTCGCTGGGGTCGTAGTATCTATCCTCAGATACGGCGGCCCTGCGTGGGCTGCGGTACTGGATATTGACTGCCACAGGCAGAAATTAGAGAGTACACACAGGCTAATGTGCTTAAGGGTGGCCAGTGCATACCGCACTATCTCGAAAGAGGCCGTCTGTGTCATAGCAGGGATGATGCCAATCAGCCTTATCATTAAGGAGGATGTGGCGTGCTATGACGCGAGGACCGTTCGAGGGGTGTGCAACAACGCGCGAGTTGTGTCGACCGCGAGATGGCAATCGGAGTGGGAAAACTCCACAAAGGGGAGGTGGACTTACCGCTTGATACCTTCCGTATCAAGCTGGGTCAACAGGCGCCATGGAGAAGTAAACTTCCACCTGACACAGTTCCTGTCAGGCCATGGCTGCTTTAAGAGCTACCTGCATAGGTTCGGACATGCAAGTACTCCCATCTGCCCCACATGTGCTGGTGTCGAGGAGACCGCCGAACACGTCGTGTTTGCCTGTCCACGTTTCGAGCCAGTATCGAGCGCTATGCTAGCGATATGCGGAGCGGATACCAGTCCGGATAACATCGTTCATAGGATGTGTGGTACCACCGAGAACTGGAGCGCGGTGGTGACTGCGGTCACCCACATAGTTTCGGTATTACAACGACAGTGGCGAGCCGAGCAGCAGCAGTTACCTACTGCCCGACTAGATCGTTAGAGTATTGCTAGAGAGGCGCCATAGCGCTACAGCGGCCCCTCCCACGAAGTAATGCCTTCGGGCGGTTCCGGGGAGGTCAAGGGCCAAGCGCAAAGGGTAAGGTTTAGTGGGTCGGGAGTGAAATTCTCTCATCCTCACATCCTGAGTTCCTTCTCAGGTGTCTGTGAGCAGATTCCCCCCTGTATAAAAAAAAAAAAAAGATAAGACCTATTGAAACTACCATATAGATAGCATCATTTTGCCGAATTCCATTTGGCAGAATGCGTCAATTATCCGAATGCCATTTAGCCGAACGCCATTTGTCCGAATACTGATTAATTTCGATAGAGCTTCTCATGAGTGAAAGATGGAAAAATCCGCTATTTTATGAGAATAAATTAAGCAAAAAATTTGAAAATTAATAAATTCTAACCTCTCGTCAAATTTTCCTAACGGGATCAAATATATCCAAATCTCATGGCAAGTTTCATTAGCGGTGCTCGTAAAACAACGGGAAAACTCCAAAGAACTGCTCATGTATGAAGGAAGGATAAATCTCCCAAAAGAATCAACTTTGAGTTTCTCATCATACTTAGAAAAAAGGATTCAATATTCTCCAACATTCAATTTGCACTCCAGCTGCTGATACTTGTGGATGTCATTGGAAATAGTAAAAAATAATACCTAAATAATAATACCTTATTTATGAATAATCAATCACCCGAATAATACCATACATCATTTTGAACCATTTGTCATCATCAGAATCCTATTTAAACTTAATAATTGTGACAAGTCAAGGATATAGAAATTGCTCTTTAAAATGTCTTAGCCTTTTATTGATGTCCACTGCCTTGTTTTAAAGCCGAAGAAAGGCATAAACCAAAGCATAACGTAGGGTCAGATCCTGGCGAAAAAGCCTCAAGTCCCGGATCGTAAAATTCCCCTAAGCTTGGGATCTGTAATTTTAGATTTTCTCCATTTCTCAATTTAATATTTCAAAGCATGGTGTATTTATCGATATGGATGAATTATTCCTCATTTCGGGATACTAAATTAATTTAATTTAGAACGCGATCTTAAATTTTGAAACTACATAGATCTTGAAAAATGTGGATGGTCACAGAGTGTTGAAAATTTGTTTCTAAATACCAAGGGGGATCCAATTCGAGCTTAAGACCCCTCCGTTCTTATGACTTTTGTCCTAATGGACCTGATGATGTAAATTGTACACTACAGTTTGATTTTATTCTAAAAGATAAATGGATCACCATAAATTTAAACCAAACTTATGCATGAGCTCTGAGACTGTGGAATACTTTTTGATCAAATCACCCTCTCAAAGCAAAGCCATTTAGACTGCCAGCATCACTAAGCCCTCTGTAAAACCAATCAAACAGCTTAGATAAAAATACAGCTAGCAAGCGGAAGTATTGCAAAATCATCTTATGCAACCCCACTGGTTGTTACCGTCACTACACCTGGGTAAATATTTTCAGCTGTGTGACGATCGTCAATCGAGAGAAATTAAAAGAATCGTTCATTATATTCAGGGACAACTTGAAAGAATAAACGTGCCATCCGAATCTCGTTTCGTTCTTCAAACTTCTTCTCATCTGTATTTTCCATCGTATTTTTTTTTATCGATTCATCCCGAAGGCTGAGAGCAGGCACAAATGTTTGAACAAATGTGTCCGGAGATCTCCTACGCCATCTCGATGACGATCGACCTACGATATAATCAGGTTTTTATTTTCGATATCGCTCGCACCAGACGCTACTTCTAAATGTGGAATAACTACCTTTATTCTAATGAAGGTTCATTTGGACCTGTTTTCGACGAAAGAAATGTTAACGGGAGTGATAATACGTTTTTCAACTTCTTTACGACATCGGTTGTCATTGTGGCTTCGCTCGCGTATCGATCGAAGCAGGCTCAGAGAAATTTCAAGGTTGCGTACATCCGTCGAGAAGTCATGGATTGCTTGGTTCACACCGGCTGACTACGGTTGCATAATTTTTACCACTAATGACCGATCCCCACGAGGATGAACGGAACGGCAATAGATAACCGCTCGTTAAATGACAAAGTAAAGATCAACTAATCAGTTGCTTGGTGCGCGAAAGTTTAAGGCCGCTGCATGCTGGTTGGCTAAGCGCGTGTCAGCCGGATTGATCCCAACGAGAGCGAGCGTCATAAATTTGCCTAAACTAATGGATGATGGTCCTCTCACTAAATCGCTTTGCTGGTTGGCGTTTGTGCCATTTTCTATGATGTAGGTAGGCAGGTACCAATATGGCTGCGTGCAAAACTCACACGATCCCTACACGAAATGTCAAGTCATTTGTCTTTCCGTATTTGAACGCGCGAGACTGGCTGGTGGATGGGTTGTGTAAAATTGAGGGAGGATGAGCTTCGCTTCAAGGTGGTTAACTGCGGGAATGTGAATCTGTAAGCTGGTCATGTAAGTTATAATCTTCACCTGATCTTTGCGTCGATGGGTCGGTTCTCATGGCTGGTGGTCTCAGCCTGTCAGGATTAGAGATGATCTTTACCGCCAATAGGGGCATTTGTGGCGTTGAGTTTGAGTGACCTCAAGTTCTCAGAAATTGAAATTAAATTTGATTTTTTTTGCAATGTATAATCAGGCCAATAAAAAAAACTTTGAAGATGTGCTATAGTTCTCAAGGTATTATAAATAGAGTAGTTCTTATCATGAATCATCAAGTGTCAATTTTTGGCATAACACTTCAGATTTTTCTGAATGCACGTAGCTGAAACTACTACTTGTTGTTTTGCTGCGAAGAAGCAAGCGTCTTCAATTTACAGAAATCCGCTTGAAATTGCGAAGTATGATAAGAATAAGGACGCTACAATTCAACACCTTAAAATGCGTACACCAGCATAGCCACATTTTAGCCCTTCCAATCTAATTTCATCATCTAATTTACGACCAGGTTTTCTTCCGCCAGCATGTATTTAACATTCGATATTCTATTCTTCCATGACTTCAATAAAACCAACTCACCGTCCATTTTGTTCTGCAAACTGTGTGGCGATTCGGGTAGTGTGTCCGATATCGAGTCCCCGTCCGAGTTCAGGCTGTACGAGTGCTCTGTCTTGATAGGCATCCCGGTGCCAATGATCGCGTCCGTCATCAGTTTGTCGTTGAGGATCACTGGCGGGAGCTTCGGGTCCCGTTCCATCCAGTCTTGCATGTCCGCGTAGCTGGACATCTTCAGTGTGTCTTGCATGGTCTGGAACAGGCAAACGGAGATGTGATCTAATTAGCATACGATTAGGAAATTAATTATGGTATCAGTGAATTCATGTTTATTTATGTTCGATGAGGTGACAACCAACAGACGTAGTGGGGAAATAGGGAAGGTCCGATAGTCGCGGTGCGATTCAAAGCGTAGCACGAACCTATAAATCTTTGGATCAACCGGCGGAGGTAAAGAAGCGTGAAGTGAAGAGGAATGTGCTACCTGTGTCAACCTGTTTGGGTTCCGGAATTCAATACGACAGGGACAGTACGGTCGGGGGTAGAATGAGTTTGACCTAAATTTCTGTTAGGGGATTAAGATCGGAATTGAACAGACAGGTGTAATCAGGTTCCCATAACAAACTTTTAGCATTCCGAGTACAATTTGAAATCTCCGTTTCGTAATGCTCATTCAATCATTTCGTTTTCCTCTTCCATCGCTATCTTCAAGCTATGTATCTTCAACACTGAGAAACGAACCAAAACAAAAATACAACAATAAGACTAAAACCCGATAATTACACGCCTGCCCACAGAGCTGGGGGACAGTGTTGGCGAGGAAAAGTTTTCCAAAACAGCCTCCGAATTTGGTCAAAACCGTTTATCACAATCGTGGCTTCGGCGGTGTCGGCGGCGGCGAAAAGAAAACGCAACAAAAACAGAGTAAATAAAGTAGTTCGTTTGGCTTTCCCTACCCCCACTTCCCATCCGCCTACTGATCCAAAGGAAAAAAAAAAGAACAACGCCCGAAAGCTATGTAACTCTTTCTTTTTCGATTAATAAGATTGTTATGTACCTTTTTAATAATCATAATCATAAAATACTAAATAATTACGATAATCGTTTTTCTCTCGTTTCGTCGTCTGGAAGAGCCCCGAATCGAACGCCGAGATCACATTTTTTTTCTCATCCAGACTGCTTTCTCATTTTCTCAATCTTCGAATCCCAACGTAAGGGATTGAAGGGTAAAGCAGGGAAACTTTGAACAAAGTCGATTAAAAAACTCGATATAATCTTTTGTAATGTATGGATCGTTGAAAACTCTGCTCCTGAACGGTATGTTTTGTTTTAATTTGCTCTATCACCAGTGCAGTGACACCAACATAGACAACTGGATATAGATTTGGAGCCTATTTGTGTTCCAATAGCTGATTGGTGGATTTTGACATTTAACTTTTTGGCTGGATAAAATTTGATGCTAGCATTAAACCGAGACGTTTAAAATTTGATGTTATTTCCGGCGAGCTGTTACAGGTATACCTCGATATAACAATACTGTCACTTTTGACTTCCGTCGATGATTTCTCACAAATAACTACTCAATCATACAAATCAACATTACCAATAAGGGAAGATGCATAAATGCAGGGCTGTTCAAAGATTTTTAAATTATGATTCGCGAAATCAGCGATTTCTCAAAAGTAATCCGCGACTTCAACTACTAATCCACTACAGCTTAGCTTAGCTTAGTCTGACTGCACGTATCGATAGTTGCACTCCGTGATTGATCTGAACCAGTGAAATTGTACAAAGAATCAACTGAATGGGGCTTGGTAGTAACCTGCCATTCTCAGTGTACATGTTCCAGTGACTCCTACCTTTAAAGATCAATAACGTCACCGGCCACGTCCTTGCAATCAGGTGGGAGAGGGAAGGAATGTTAGTGTGTGACTTTTGTTGTTTTGGGACCGTGTTTACCTCTGCATCCCACAAAAGTCACAGGAAGGAGGTTTTGTTAGTGGGTTAGGTTCGTTGGATCAGGATTCACCTTGATAAGTGATGCGATCTTTTGTTTTGTGTAGTTATTTATAAGTGTTTTCGATTTATGCTCTAAACAGCCGGCTGTCTAGAGATGTAGATCATTATTAGATGTGTGTATACCGATTTAAACCAACAATAAGGATACTGTTGGGGCCCCTCACAAAGTGTGATGATGGTTTATTTTATTTTATCAATGACCAAAATAATTAATTATAAGCGGTTTGAACCGATTTAAACCAACAGCAAGGATGCTGTTGGGGCCACTCACAAAGTGTGATGGTGGTTTACTTGATTGAATATAAAATAATTATTAGAACCGATTTGACCCGATTTAGACCAACGGCAAGGATACTGTTGGGGCTACTCACAAAGTGTGATGGTGGTTTATTTAGTTCGGAAGAAAATGAATATGTATACTTCTTTTTTTTTTATATATAATAGAACGAATTTGTACTGATTCAAACCAAAAGCAAGGGTTCTATTGGGGCAACTCACAAAGTGCGATGGTGGTTTATACTATAAGGGCATAAAACAAAATCAAGAGCCATTTCGGTTTCCATAGCTTCCTAGACATTCGGCCGCAAAATAATCTTATCCGACGGAAACGTCTCGATCATCGCTGCACAATGGTTTATTATAGCATTTATAAAGTAAATTTGAATACCTTATTGTTTATTTATTATCCATTTTGACTTGACTTGGTACCGTTCAGTTTTATGATGACAAAGTTGCCTGGAGAAAAGTGACAGTTCAAAATGTTTCGGAAGGGAGTCAGCTAGTGTCGTCCAAGTTCAAGTGCGGAAAAAATGCCATTTAAAGTGGTACAAACAATTGAAAGATGCGAAACATGCCTAACCGTAATTCTTTCTGGTTGGAAAGAAGCTGGAATCCTACACTGGCCGGAAAAAAAAACGCGGTAGCGAAACTCTCTCAAGACGAGTTCTCCATGCCAAACCCAATGTGGGAACGTATCAATTGAGTGAAAAAAAGAGAGTTCAAGACTCGCTTGGAGGCTGAAGCAGAATTGGAACAGATGTAGCCAGTTTCGGATACGGAGGCGAACGAAGGGAATAATCCACCACCGTCAAAGAAAGTTTGCCCCGAAGTCTACAAGTCCCCCAGTCGGAAGGGAAACACAATAAGAGACTTTAATGAAGTTTTCCTTATTCCTGGGCAGGAGGTTGACACCTGTGAAGCTGACTGTAAAATCCAGAATCAGATGAGATTATAATATATGCGACACAAATTCACTTTTTTATAGGGGAACATGTGATGTGAATAGAACCCACCATCAGTGCAAGGATTACATATGACTGCAGATACTTCACTGGTTGTAAAGTTCTGCCTGATGGTTTGTTGCAGCTGGGTGAATCAACTTCATTGAAGACCTTTGGAAGACAAACGACAAGATGTACGTCTATCAACACGTGACAAGGGACTGGCAAATCCACGAACACTTGTCCAGTCTACAAATCCATTGAAACCCTTAGGCTGCCCCCCCCCCCCAAACCCAACATATAATAATGTTTGATTGATGAAACGTATTCAAAAAAGGGATATTTAGAGAGAACAATCTTCAACTGGAACGTACTCACCAAATCAATACATCCGGGAGCGCATTCTCGATGCTTAATTTTCTCTAGTCATTTTTAAACAATTCCTCCTCCAGCGAATCCAAACACACAATAACTAAATATCACTTTTCTTCTTCATGTCACTCTGTGCACAAAAGCAATGCACACCGCAAAAACCTAATAATAGATCAGCGCGGTCGAGTCACACTGTCAACAAAGGGAGCGAGAGCACACCAGGCACCAAAGCAACAGGGGAAAAACATCAGCACAAATCATTCTAAATAGAATTATCGCGTCCGGGACATAAAACTATTCAAATGCGAGCACCGAAAAACTACACGGCAGCACAAAGATAGCCCGAGCTCTAAAAAAAAAGCACGCAGCGGAGCAAAAACACACAACCGTTCTCGGACGCTTCTCAAAGCGGACTCCACTTCAACTACTAATCCACTACAAATTAAAAACTGTATTCATTGCTTAAACATACCATTTGTATTGCTACTAAATAGCATTTATAACTTATAGCTTATAGCATATTAGTTTTTCGCCTGCGCTCAAATTAGTGTTCTTTGAAGAAATTGCACCTTTTATATGAAAGCTTCCTATGCCGGTATTATCCTATTTCCAAGGAAGCCGAGAATTTTTCCTTCTCCAAAAATTAATATTCCGGTTTAGTGAACATAATAAAACACCCTTACATGCTGAGATTCTATTAAATAAAAGCGGCAAAGGTTTTCTGAAACATTATTTTAAAATATTTATGCATTTAAAATTGAAATGCAAATTAACTAGAAAATTATAAAAAATAGAGCGTAGAACGAATTACCATGCAATACATTTAATTTGAGGTTTTCAGTTTTAAGAAGAATAACACTGAAAATAATTTGATTCCAATGAAAATTCCAAAGGAATTGAATTCATAATTTCAAGGATAGTTCCAACCTGAGTACTGCGGAGTAAATCGATTTCATTTTGCAAATTTGTTCAAGTTTAAAATTGTTTTGTTCTTTCTCAGTTGATTACCGCCAAAAGCTCTGAGCCAGGAGTGCTCGAGCCCCCATGACTCTATCAAAGTTTGTTTACATACATGTTTCGTCAAAGTATGTTTTACTGCAATTGAAAACTCAGCTGAGTCATAAAAACTATGCTGGTTTTTATACTTTCATCATTGAGCCTGTTGGTTTATGGTTTTTGAGCTTACAATTAAGAATGTGTTATGAAAAGTATGAATCATTTTTATAAGATTGCAATGCATGACGAGAGGTAAGAACAGTAACTGAGTTTGTTGCTTCTGAATGTTTGGCTTCCGTTTGACAGTTCTGACTGGCTCCCAAGTGACAAGCACATTGAGTGAGTCCGCAGTACCCAGGTTCCAACCTAGTTTTGAGAAAATGTTCTTAGGAATTCTGAAGAGTATTCCTAGGATGTTCCGGAGATAATTTCTAGAAAATTCAAAACAGAGTTTCAAGGAAATTATGAGGAGCATCTCTAAGAATTAATGAGAATTTTGTAGAAAATTCAAAACAGAGTTTCAAGGAAATTATGAGGAGCATCTCTAAGAATTAATGAGAATTTTGAGTAGAGCTAAAAAGGAATTCCTACGGCAATTTCAGATGAATACTAAGTGCATGCGGAGGAGAACTACAAGTGATTTTTT